TCTAACCCTACCCCCTCTTGTGCTCTCTCTCTCACTCTCTCTCTCTCAAATAAATAAATAAAATCTTTAAAAAAAAAAAAAAATTCTGAACTTAGCCAATGTGCACATAGTGGGTACTGAATATTTAAATTATTGTAGGTGTACTTTACACAGATTATATATGTGCACACCTAAATTATCCATAATTGTGCTGCATTTTAACATGAAGATGGATTTAGTATCAGAAGTTTCAAGTTTTAGCACCTTGAAGCAAACTCCAGGGAATTGTTTTTATTTGGCTGTACTGCAATTTTGCCATATTGATGATTTGCTATTTGAATGTTTTTGCTATGGTAACATTTGCCTTTTGTTGAAATAGGAGTTATAACAGTAGTGATAGGTGTAATTATGCTAATAGCAATTACTAAAATGAGTGTCTACTGTGTGTCAGGCATTTTGCAAAGAGTTTTTTATATATATTATTTCATCTTTAAACTGTCCTATAATGTAAATACATTTATTTTTCTCATTTTCTAGATAAAGCTTCTCACTTTCAGTGAAGTAGTTTGCTCAAGGTTACAGTTAGTAAGAGGCAGGGTTAGGCTTTCAGTCCAGGACCTCACTGGTCTTAACTGCTATGCTCTGCTGTTCGGCCATACTGATCCCTTTATGTCCTTTTTACAGGTTCACCAATAGGATTCTTCTGCTACCATCATGTCTTGGTTTGCTGATCTTGCTGGAAAGGCAGAAGATCTTTTAAATCGAGTTGATCAAGGGGCTGCAACAGCTCTCAGTAGAAAAGAGAACAGCAGCAACATCACATATAACAAAAATGCTGACTATCCTGAACTTCAGCAAAATACGGATTTGACTTATCAGACTGGATCCAAAGCTACATATATTTCCTCAGCAGCTGATAACATAGGAAATCAGAAAGCCACTATCTTAGCTGGCACTGCAAATGTAAAAGTAGGATCTAGGACATCAGCGGAGGCTTCCCATCCTGTTGAAAACGCATCTGTTCCTAGGCCTTCATCCCAGTTTGTTCGAAGAAAAAAGTCAGAACCGGATGATGAGCTGCTGTTTGACTTTCTTAACAGTTCGCAGAAGGAACCCACTGGGAGGGTGGAAATCAAAAAAGAAAGGAGCAAGACACCTGTCCTTCAGAGTTCTCGGACAGCAGGTGTCAGTTCTGTGAACACCAGCATAACTGCCGTCAAAACCATTGAGGAAAATCCTTCTGGGAGCCAAAGCGATGGTAGTTAATCGGCCCTCTGCTTCTTTTAGAGTTAAGCAAATTGGATGTGTTATCCTAGTCTAAACGTTTTGGTAGTGTTTCCCATCCTCTGTTTTGTTACCTTTCCCCACTGGTGTAAAGGCAGTCTCTGAAACGTGTGGTATAAACCAGGGAGACGGTGTGGCATGCTATTAGTCAGTATACAGTTATAATAGGGACCTTTAAATGCTGTCTGTTGGGTAACTTTACCCAGCCTAGCATCTAAGAAGTTCTGTCCAGAATGGTTTTCTGAGATATTTTAAAATAAAAAAGGACAGTTTTGAAATCGGAAAGAAAACAGTTTAGTTTGGGATTTGGGACTATCTCATTTCATTTCTTTCTGGGATTATAAAATAGGAGGCTGTACTTTACATATATTCTGGATTGTGAGAATTTTTTTGTGTGTGTTTTTCTTCCCCCTTGCATCCCTCAGAAGTAAAGCTGAGAGACCGAACTTGAATCCAAGTTGAAGGGTTGAAGGCATTGACCTGGTGGTGAAGTAACAGTTTAGAATTCTGGTATTCAATTGTTTAATTTGCCGTGAGATTACCTCTACGTGTATATCTTCTCACCCGCAAAAATGAGGTTAACATGGTAATGTGGCTAATTCAAGTACCTACTAACCATTTTAAAGCTTTTATTTATTTGTCAGAGAGAGAGAGAGCATGAGCAGGGGGGAACAGCAGGCACATGCTAGATGCTCCCTGCTGAGCAAGGAGCCCGACGCAGGACTCGATCCCAGGACCCTAGGATCATGACCTGGGCTGAAGGCAGATGCTTAACCAACTGAGCCACCCAGGCGTCCCCTTACTAACCATTTTATCTTTTTTTTTTTTTAAAGATTTTATTTATTTGGCAGAGCACAAGCAGAGGGAGAGAGAGGGAGAAGCAGGTTCCCTGCTGAGCAAGGAGCCCGATGTGGGACTCAATCCCAGGACCCTGGGATCATGACCTGGGCCGAAGGCAGCCGCTTAACCGACTGAGCCACCCAGGCGTCCCC